GCTGATGTGGCGTGGTGCCAGCTCCCATGCATAAGGTAGAATGAGCATACACCATGATGCTTCCAGAACTGATCCAGAAAGTGGCAAAGATGATGGGTGACATGATCAGAGTTGGGCCCCAGAGAATTTTGAGGAATTCAAAGTAATGTCTTTTATTGTAATAAATTATTTTTGTTTTAAACAAAAAAAAAGTAAAAACAAGCAAAGATTAAACAGAAACAGGGTAACATAAAACAATACATATGTTACAGATTTTCAAAACAAGAATAGCTAACTTTTTAGTCTTTCAAAGAACCAACTCTTCCATTAATTGAGGCTTTGTACTTTTTTTTAGTCTCTAATGTGTTAATTTGTGCTCTGATCTTTATAATTTCCTCCCTTGTACAAGTTTTTGGCTTAGCCCACTCTGCTTTTTCTAGACTTTGAGGTTCACCATTAATTGTTGATTTGTATTTGCTCTGTTTTCCTGATATGGGTATTTCAGTGCTATAAACTTCCCTCTTAGGATTGCTCTCATCGTGTCCCATAGTTCTGGCATGTTGTATTGTCACTATCATTTAATTGTAGAAACTGTCTAATGTTTTTCTGAATTTCATCTATGACCCATTGGTTGTTCAAGAAGGTGCTATTAAATTTCCATGTATTTATGAAGTTCGTGTGAGTTCTTTTTGCCATTGATTTCAAATTTCATTGCACTATGATCAATGATATGCATGAGATACTTTCAGTTCCTTTGCATTCAATTAAGCATGTTCTGTGATTTAGTATGTACTTTATTTTGGATGATGTCCCATATGCAGCTGAGAAGAATGTGTATTCTGATGTTGTGGAGTGAAACAGTCTAGAAACATCTAAGTGCATTTGTTCAAAAGTGTAGTTGAGCTTTAATATTTCATTACTGATTTTTTTTGTTTAGTTGAGCTGCCTTTTTGTGACGGTGGGGTATTGAGATCCCCCAATACAATTGCTTTTTTAAATTTTTTTTCTTCCTGTTACTATTTGTTTTGTGCAGTTTGGCACACTGGTATTTGTTGCATATATATATTTATGATTGTTACCTCTTTCTCTTGGACCCTTTATGAGGTTGTAAGTGACCTTCCTTATCTCCAACAGTCTTGACTTGAAATTTACCTTGGCTGAGAATAGAATAGCTCCCCTCACTTTTTTATGGGATCCTGTCACATCCAATATTGTTTTACAACGTTCGACTTTCAGTCTTTTAATTTCTTTTGAATTAAATGTGTTTTGTATATGCAGCATATTGTTAGATCTTGCTTCTTGATCCATTCTGCAGTCTTTGTCTTTTGATTAAATTGAGACCATTAATGTTGATGGTTATAACTGGTATGTATTGACTGTCCTTGTTATGTTAGTTTCTTGTAACAGGCTCCCCTTTTTTTCCCTGCTGTTTAATTGTTTGCCTTGCCTGGTAGATTCCTTCTGTTAGGGTTCATGGAGTTGTATTTCTTGTTATCTCTTTCTACAGAGTCCTTCTAAACATTTTAGAGTGCTGGTTTGGTGGTCATAATACATTTCCTCAGGTATTCTTTGTCATAGAACTATCTTATTTCTCCACCAGTGTTGAAAGATAGTTTTGTGGGTTACAACAATCAGGGTGAAAGGTTGTTTTCCTTTAGAACTTGAAATACTTCACTCTAAGCTTTCCTTGAGGGTTTGTGCTGAGAAGTCACCTGTGATTCTGATGGGATTTCCATTATAGGATTTGTTTCTTTTCCCTAACAGCTTTTAAGATTCTGTTCTTGTGTTGAATTTCTGGAATCTTGACTGTGATATGCCTGGATGTAGATTGTTGTTGTTGTTGTTATTTGATTGTGGCTAATCAGAGTTCTATATGCCTCACTTTTCTCAATGTTAAATTCTTTTCCCCTACTAGCAAAGTTTTATGCTATGACATCTATGATAGTTTTTAATATCATTTGTCCAGTCTCCTGCTTTTTCATTGACTCGTTAAGCCTCAGTTATTCTTTGCCTCATCTAGCAGCTGGTGGATTGATTTCTTATTGTCCCTTGCTATTTTTAAGAATTCTTTCTTTTCGTAATTGCTAACTATAAACCTGTGTTCCATATCCGAGAGCCTGTCCTCACCTTGGCTTAATCTCTGCTGATACTTTCAATGGGATTTTTCTTCTAAGTAAATGCTTGAATCTGCCTTGTGGATTCCATTTGTTTCCTATGCTGAGCATTCATAGAGTCCAAATTTTCTTAAGTCCCCCCCCTTTTTTTTTTTTGTCTCTACCTGCTCTGGAGTCATTAAGCATGGTTTTCATTTGGGACATCCTGCAGTTATCTGAGAAATTACTTCTGATTTTATTTAATTATATTTTTATTTTATTTTATTTTATTTTATTTTTTTTAGGGCCTCATTCAGTTGCCTTGTTGTTACTACTTCAGAAAGACCTGGGTAGATGGCTTGCAGATTCTCCTCATTGCCTTCTAGGTTTGCCTTTGGTGAAGTGAATGTTAGTGGCTACATCTTGTTTAAGTGTCCTTTCATTTTCTTTTCTTTTTTGTAGTTTTAATTCCTGGGTTGATGCTTGTAAATTTCCTGTGGTGGGCTGTTAGTATTTAGAATCCTTAGGAAATGACTGCTTCTCCAAGATATCCGCCAGGTATAGCTGGTTTTAGGGTTTTGAGTCTGTTGCAAGAGTCTATCACTGCAATTTGTTTGGAATGCAAAGTTGCTGCCTGCTTGGCCCAGCCTCTATAGTTTTTTGGCACTGTGCCACAGTATTTTCTATAACCCTTAGTCTCAGTCTTAGAATACCAGGAGAACAGCTCTTTAGAACAATGATGTCACTTTTAGCTAAAGTAATACCATTAGTAATTACAATAACATCAAATATAGCCTAAAAAATGACAAACTGAGCTAACCATTAATTTGTCACCTTTAACCATATGAACTAGATTTGTGGTTATGTAATAAAATCTAAAACCAGAAAATTATATGCAGTATGCAAGTCCTTAATATGTCAACTTTGCCCTGAGGGGTTAAAATTTAAAATGGGTTAGGGACAAGATAGAAGTAGTAGAAGAAGAAGAGATTAGGAGTAAGGCTGCAGGACAAAAAGAGGTCCCAGTAACTTTGGTAAACTGGCGTAGAAGACTGGAGAGAAAGAGAAGGAAGAGATAAAATGAACAGAATCACAACTGCAAAAAGGCTACAAACCACATTCACACTCAAGAACAAGGTCAAACAGTAAAAGAAAAAAACTAAAAACCACCACCACCATAAATAAAAATCAAATAAGAGAAAGAGGAAAAAACAATAAAGTCAACTTCCAGGTATGTGTCTGTTGTCACTAGTAGACAACCTTATGAGGATGAGTCCTGATCTGTGTTGAATTATCCCAGCAAGCCTGCACCTTCTGGCTTAGACCAGACTCATTTGGCCTGCAGCCATCAGCATACTTTCCCTGGGCTTACGCCCAGCTGGGAGCTGCTAGATGGAGTCATTAGCAACTCTTGAGTTCTGTGCTCAGCCAGCCCCTCCTTAAAATAGCTCCTGGCCAATTTCTAGTGCAGTATGACTGATCCCTCAGCACTCACTGCCAGCCAGTGCGTTCCTTCATGTCCATTGCTCCCCTCGACTGCTGCATCTCTCTGTGGAGGCCTCTGTAGTCACCAAGCAGCAGCATGATGTGTCCACAGATTTGAACCACTCCTCTCATGTAGTGAGTGCTATTTCAGGGAGAAGGTGCCACAGGCTTCCTCCTTTCTCTTCATTGAAACTTCTCCCTTCATACTTCTGTGGGCTTCATTCATGCCTCAGAGCCTTCTTGGGTCTAGGGGACCCATTTTCCTCCTTGTCTCCTCATGTTGCTATAATCCATTGTGTGGTTGGTGACTCAGAGAATTGCTCTGCTTCTTACCACTCTGCCATCTTGGTGCTCCCCTACCATGGAAGCTTTAAAAAGCCTGGATTAAAGCCTTTAAGTGCAAGCCAAGCCTCCTTCATATGGGGTGATATTGTCAACATGGGGGAGAGACCAAACCATAATTCCTGGATTAGAATTTATCATTTGAGCTCAACTCAAGCTGAAAGAAGTTTGCTTCTCTTTTCATGCTTAGCCTGAAAAGAGGCTTAACATTTTTTATTTATACATGAATTTTTTTACAACTTAATCATTTATCTTTTTGGTGATCTGAAGTTTTTATGAATTTTACATGTCAGAGGCACTAAGGACTATGAAATTGTTAACTAATCTTAAGTGTTTAGAAAGCAACCCACAGTAAGATTGACTAAAGGAAAGTACTTTGAGGATAAATAATTGTTTGCGTTAACAGCCTATGGTTGTCATTTTTACCTCAGAACTTTTGCTCTGGCAGGAAAGAGATCTAGCCAAAAATACTTTACTCTGTCATATGATAACTGGCAGATAAGACAATGATCTTTCTGACCTTAGTCACTCTTGCACACCTACCTCTGTTTTGAGGATCTATTATGGTAGTTACTAAATGTGTCATATAGGTGTCTAATATTTTCTTTTTTAATATTTATTACAAAGATAATATGAAAAATATTAAAATATTTAGAAGATAGAGGGGGAATATTTATAATTTAACCTCCTTACTACAAGAACAACTTAATATTATAGAACAGTTTATGTATATTGCTATATTTTAACAAGTGTACAGATTACAATATTAGACCAGTGAGAATCAAGTAGAGCTGTATAGCATGAATTGATTTTCCCCTTAATTTGAACTCATGAAAATTACTGTTCAAAGTTAATAAAATTATACCAGGTGTATTGTTTAAAACTTTATTATTTTCCTTTTAGTTATCCAAGCATTAGGTGAACATCTTAAATTAAGACAACAAGTTATTGCCACTGCCACGGTCTATTTCAAGAGATTCTATGCCAGGTAGGACTTTTGGGAATGTGTTATGCCTATTTGAAGCTCCTTTTAAATAATGCTCATAAATCTTTGTATAAATGAATCAGTTCTTAGCCATAGATTTAGTGTGATATTTTCCCCAGCGTTTTCTAAATGGGTGACATTTAATTTTGTTTTATCACATTTTAGGTATTCTCTGAAAAGTATAGATCCTGTTTTAATGGCTCCTACATGTGTGTTTTTGGCATCCAAAGTAGAGGTATAAAAAATTTTCTTTTCATGAAAAGAATATATCATCAATGTATACAGTAAATCTGCTCCAGCTTTTACACTGCTGTATTTATGGATAATAATGGATGGTAATTTTGCTTAATATTGCAATTATACAAATTCAAAGATACATGAGTGTTTATTCTATGTATTTAGCAAACATACGTCACTTTATCAACTGCTTTTCTAAGTCCTTTTATGAATACTGACTTAATTCTAACTGCAGTATATAGTAGTAGTATCCCCATTTTATAATGAGGCAACTGAAGCAAAAAGAGAGACTTGTTTAGGTGTAGTAGCTCACAGCACTGAGGGGGCTGAGACAAGAGAAGTGCCACTCAAGACCAGCCTGAACTGCATAGCAAGAGGCTATCTCGAAAAAACCCAACTTATTTAATGTCATACAGTTAGTAGATAAATGGTAGTGCCAGTCTTTGACCCTTAGGAGTCTAGCTCCTGATCTTATGTTCTTAACTTCTTGGCTCTGCTGCCTTTAGAACATTGCTTGGCGC